TTAGTTATTTATATTTTAAATTTTGACATAAATATGTAGCTATAATTACAAAAACTTTGATTCAATTTGAACTATTTTTTATGAACCTAATTTTGTCTATGTAAGGAAAAAGTTTAGATAATTTTAATTTGTATTATTATATTCAATTTTTATTCTCATAATAATCTTTATACCTGATAATGATGTTTAGATCGAAACCGGCTGTAAATAATTACATATTTACAGTAATACTCCAGGTAAGACAAAACAAAACAATTTAATTTTTATTTTGCATCTTTAATAAATGGCAGTGGCATAATGGAATGCGATACCAAATAAAACGTGATTTATCTATATTTATTTTATTTTTTTTCATACCAATACAATAAAAAACTCATTTATGAAATCACACAAGGTATTGATAATTTATAATTTTTGAATTATTTGAACATAATTACATATATACTATAGGAGCGTGAGGAACCATTGATTAAATTATGTTGATGTATTTTACTATATAATACGTAAAATTATACATATTATATATACACGACAAAAATATAATATGTTTGAAAAAATGTTTTTTAATTTTATTTCAAAAGAGAAAAACTCACATAAAAACACCGCCTTAATCCGTTATATAATAGTATCATAATATGATGATTCTTAATTAATATGGATATGTACGTGATGTATATGCATATTAAATGAACACTCTAAACACTATGTTAAAATATCCACGGCATTAATATATAATATTATGAAAATACAACAATATTAAAATATGCGTACGATAAAGATTATTGTAATAATAATAATATAAATATAATATAGTAATAGTAATAATAATAATAAGAAAAAAAAAATTATTACATTTTAAAAACTGGATATGCACTTTATAGATATGTATTAGATAACTATATTATTTAATATTTTATGTATTGTATGTTATATATATATTAATAATATATATATATATATATATATATATATATATATTAATAATAGTAATATTCGTTATGTAATCCTAATAGTCTTAAAATGTAAACTCATAAATCACATATAAATTAATTTAATGTTACGTAAGTCGTATGCTAATTATGTCCTTTGCAAGACCCTATGAGTCGATGCCGATAACGACTTATTGACACGATATGGATGGTACCTAATTTGTATTATGATAATTCTTATTTTTTATTGTTATTTCACAAACGGCTCACTGGGATTTGCAAAGAATTATTAGTGTTCATTACGTAATTTATTAAGATATGTATTGCGAATGGTTTTTAAGCTTAAATTTTAATAATTATAATTAATTATGTGTAAACAACGCATTACGATAAGCCTAAAAGTATTTCTAGTACATTATAATTATAACTCGAATCAACCGTTTCATACTACGTTATTGCATATATGATTACGTATAATTTCGTAACAAAATTATCAAAAATCCTTCTAACTCTAATATTCAGAATGGGTTGGTTATTTAGTAGGTATGTATATTAAATGTAATATGTATAGTATAATAATATACTGATAGAATAATAGTTATGTGTGGAAAATAAATAAAAATAACGACTATAATAATATGTTAATCGGAAAACATAACGTGCTTAAAACGCCAAGTGTATTATTTTAACAGACATAAAATCTTCATATTGGTTAGTTTTAAGGAACTTTTTTAGGGGGTGTCTCGAAAGTAATTTTTCATCATGATATTATTTTTGCGTGTCTTCCCCACCCTTTCATACTTGATAGCAAAATAATGAAACGATTGAACTACATTCTAAGGTATTTTTAATAATCACTCGAAATATATGAAAGAATATGGAATATTTTTTGATTGGATTTATGTAGGTAGGAGGATTACCTACATAAGCTTATAATTCTATAATAAATACGCCTTTGAAAACAAACGTCTAGAGCATATGCTTTGTATTACATACGTAATTCCAATACCGATGAGACTCCTCGCTGCACACGTATAGGTCATGGATGTGATTATCGAATGTCGCATAAGGTCATCGGGTAGAAAAGCAATCCCCGCGAGCATTTAAAATACGGACGTAGGCGAGCAAGTGAAATCCTCAAGTAGCATTCTCGAATAGTGGCGTCCTACAGGTAGATAGGCTGGTGTTCTATACACGCACTGCGTAAGAAGCGTTACGGCGTTAAAATAACAACAATAGAATGAAATAAAAATAAAGGTTAAACGCATTCTTGTCGTCGTTTATATTTAAATGACTAATTAAAAAAAAAAAAAAAATCTCTATGAACCTACATGATGTACCAAACTACGGAATTGGTTTACGGATTTTCGTAACATATATTATCATGCATAACCGACTAAATTGTATTCAACGTGTCTAATGTTTTCGTTAATCCTAAATTTTTAGCGGAATATAATGTATAATGTATATTCTTAAAGTCTAATTTTAATTTTTACCTACGTAGAAATAAAATTGCTAAAAAAAAAATAACAAATCATAAAAATATTCCTTAATTTTAACTCGCTACGATATTATAATACTTATGATATGCGATACTTATAATTATAATAATAATAATAATAATAATAATAATAATAATAATAATAATAATTTTACGATTTTTAGATATGTGGTTGATATGTTTTCGGCATAAGGTACGACGGACGGCGACGTCGTTAACCAAGTTGATAAAAATAATATAATAAAATAAAATACAAATATTTAAAATAAATAAACAAAAATGTACATAGGATACTGCGCAATAGAAAACCGAACGACTGAAATAACATATAATAATATACATAGATATTTATGTAAATTATATCGAACAGTTCGTGTATCGCAAAATATAAAAGTCGGACACGGTTGCGTTGGTAAAAAACGCGATTCGAATGTCTCCCGTCGTCGTACATATGATATAACATTGATATCGACCATTATGTCAATATTTTGTATCGATGTTTTGACATTACGACGTAAAAAGAATATCGTGGTGTATTGTTCTAAGATAGAAAAAAAAAAAAACAACAACGGTCGGGTTCGCTTCATTTTCCCGACGCTCGATTGGTCTCTGTGTTATAATTGTAATGTTTGACATTATTATTATTATTATGATATCTTATCTATTAAATGTAAGTTTTAAATGCTTATTCGATTATGCTTTACAGTTACGCGTATATATTGATGTGATGAAGCGGTTTTAGCTACGGATTTATATGTTTTGTGTGTGTATGTATGTGTGCGAGTGTATTTTAGTGTGCCGGCGCGCTCATTTCAACTGGTACATTGCGAGGATCAGCACCACGAGGAGACGAGACAGGACTCGAGTTTCACCGATCCCATTGGCCGACGACGAGTACTTTTTGCCCACGCAGTTCATTCTCTCCACCGGCAAATTCAACACGCTGTACTCCCTATAAAACGCGTCAAAAAAGTTCACAATCATATATCAGTACTTCCAAGGGAAACAATTAAAAAAAAACAAATACGAATCGAGAGTCTGTCGAATAATTTGTACCTTATCCTTGTGATTTGCACGATAATAACTGTATGCCAAAGAGTCTAAAAACTCGTACGCGGATGAATAGGTTTTCCACGGGAATGACTGAAATCAGGAATCAAGGTTGCTCGGGAAGAAAAATGACAAAGGTGCATTTATACGTACACAGATTGTTTCCTTTTGGAGGGTGTTTGTTCGCTCCCCTACATTTATTCCTGTCGATGGACTTAGGAATTGTTATCAAAAACTACATTTACAACAACCTCGATTATCTTTGGTAAGGATTTTCGTTTGCTCCCGCCCTCAATCGTTAAGCTTCTAAGCCCTGTTTATAGACTATATTTATAGATCACATGTTCTAATAACATTCGTTGTCAAACGCAATGTGTCTAATACGTTCGAGCAACGTTAGATCAAACGCTCTAACGGTTTTAAGGCCGACGTAAATCTTCTAAATAATATGGTACACTTTATATCGAAGTGTGTATGTGATCCACGAGGCAATTGGTTTCTTAGCACATTGGTATTATTTCACTGCGAATTGGATGTGCTGTATTTATTATGTATCATCATCGTGGTACGAATTGGTGAGGGGTGAGTGCACATACACGGTTTACGATTTCACCATTCTAAATTATGAAGCCTCCTCTTATACATATTTTAGAGCTCGGCAAGTTGAGTTTCGTTTTTATTTATTCTTCAAATATCTACTTAAAGTAATACGATAAAAACACGATGGTTCGCGCTGAAAAATTCACCCCTTAATATTTCTTACTTTAATCTCACATATATATTCAATATTCGTATATGTTCAGAAACCAATGTCTGAGCAGATCTAAAATAATTTCGGTTAATGTTGAAATCCCAGGATTGTATCGTTAACATTTTTGTTTTGCTCTTACATCTAATACTGTATGCGTAAATTATAATCATAATACTTCATCTACGGATAGAAGTGTCAAGTGTATGTGATTCAATGAAACTTATAGAAAAGTGATATGCTTAGTCAGTGTTTCTGAAAAATGTTTGCTTGTACAACTTGCTTCAGCCTTCGCTACATCGAATAAGTGTGCTATGAAATATATTTGTGCATATAACACATCCCTTGTGACGGTCGTGTTTATAGGTATGATATATATATATATATATTATTTGTGGTATTTAAACAAGTATTCGTATTATTTTTCTATTTCCTAATTATAAACTTTAAGTTTACCTTCATAGTTTTTTTTTTATAGAAACATCATTACCATCAATAAACAAAATATTCTTAAGGTTTTAAATCCATTGGTATTCTCTGCTACTATGGATAAATATTCTATAGAACAAAACGATTAAACTGAATTTCTTGTAACTCATTTATTATTTTAATGGAAGATGAGCTCCTTATTATGTATTTTGTACATTTTAATAATTTAATAATAATAAAAATAAGTAAATATTTCTTTTTTAGTAATTTTTTCTTTGCGTTTTTTTCTACGCATAAAAGATCAATATCCTATAAAAAATAAGTCATTTATCAGTAGAAATATCTTTTAAGTATAATTTATGTGAACCACATTGTACTAAGAATTATTTTAATAGAATCAGTCAATGAAAATGTTTGTCATTAAAGAAATTGTATTACTTTGGGAAAATACTAGTCTTATGAAGTTAATTAGCATTAATAATTTGAGGGTAGTTGAATAATCAAACCAGGAAACACTCAATATCTATCAGTAGGGTGAACTTGAAAATATTATGGGTATTTTATTTTTAGTAAAATTAATGCACTTTCATTTTTACCTTAAGCATACATGTTAATTAATAATTTAATTTTCATAATCAAATGACTTAAACGTAAATGTTCATAAAGTTATTTATAATATCATTATCAGAACTAGTTAAAGGTTTGTTCGATTGAATAGAGCGTCTAAAAGCGTCATTGATTATTTTAATTGTTAAAAAAATACTTTGAAATTAAACAACTGTTGCCATTTACAATAATTAAAGTTCTATTATAAATAAAATACTATTTCTATTCATAATTAAATAAATAAATTAAATTTGCAATTGCTATTTATAAATATTAATGTGTGTGAATTAAATTAATTTTAAATATAAGTAATGTGTTTAAAATACTATACGTAAATTATGAAGTATAATACATCATTAATATATTTATGTAATTTTAGTTAATTTATTATTATTCGAAGGTATTTAAAAATAATACGTAAAGTGAATTGGTTTTAATAATTATAGATAAAAAAAGTATTCATTGAAATTCTTTAGAAATATTGTTTTATACATATATAACACTTGATGTTTTACATATTTACACCATAACTTTTTTGAGTATACTTTCTTCACAAAAAGTAATAAAAAAGTTGTATATGTAATACAATTTAGTGTAGGTACTTATCATTCATATCAAAATAGTACATTATTATAGTAGCTAGTAAAATAAACTATGTTTTATAGTTAATAAAAGTTAAAATTTGAACTGAATGTGAATCTTATAAATGTAGGGTTATTAAGATATGTTAATGTTTGCATTAACATATGATATTGAATCTAACACAACATTAATCTACACATAACATGTGTACATATTATTTATATTATTTTATTTGAAAGCAGATATTCTAAACCTATAAATGTTAATAAACTTTTAAAATTTGTCTATTCTAGAATTTTCTCAATCTTGTACGAGTATTTACATAATATTGGATTATATATTATATAATACAAAAATTATTTTATTTGAAAATTGTTATTATATATTTTTGAACAAAATTAATATAAAAATATAAAAAGTTGTGTTGTTAAATTCGTATATTATTTCAGAAATTCATATTATTATATTTATTTTTATTTAAAATATAAATATAAAAAAAATAAACAATAAAATATAGATGAAAAATTGAGACTAGATTTAAAATGAATATACAAATATCTTTAAAAAGTATGATTTAAAAAAATATTTTAAAATGAGAAGTGCAATTTGTTGTTTGGTGTATTTTATATTTAACTAATTTCGTTCTAATTGTAAATAAAAATAAATAAATAAATCCAAACAAATTATTCCTTATTTTTTACTATTTACTTATTCTTACATATTTTATGAGTAAGAATTATACAATTTTTTTATTTTAAACCTCACCCATACGAATTTTAAATTCACCTTTAGTGCTGATGTGACAAAGCATCTTTTATGTCAGTACTGCAATTGAGTTCCACTTTTGGACACCTTTTCCTTTTTAACCTTTACCTTTTCCATTTTTTGTATTCATATTAGGTTTTTCAATTATTGTTATATCCTTTTTTCGTTTTATCTTATATCTATTTTCGTTCGGGAGCAACACTAGGTGACATCGGGATATTAATTGAGTCTACTGTGTATTGAACCCACATACATGTTGGAGAATTTATTGTTGTTCGATAATAATTTATTAAATTACTATGATTCATAATATTATAATCATAATTGATACAGCTAAATATTGAAGAACTGCAAAATGTTGTATTTGAGTAACCCTGACTATAGGGTTATAATATTACGCTCTGAGGATGTACATAACATGGACTTACATACACTCTATGGTGTATGGACAGTCTATAGATTTACGTAAATCTTGTGGTTATAGATTATGTACGAAAAAAAATGTATATTAAAACCTGTGTTCTTCTTCCATGAGACAGAGTATATGTTTCTTTTGTATGATATCGTCGTCGTCCTTGTGCCGTAACTCTTTCAGCCAATCCCTGTACCAACGTAGGTCGCAATCACAAATCAATGGGTTATCTAAGGAAATAAAAATAAATAAATAAAACACACACATACACAACTTTAGGGATCAAGGTAATTTTTGAAAAGGGTAATTTTATCTAAAAAAATCGACCGGAATGTCCTTATTTAGGAGCAGGCAATTATGTCAATTTCTATGCCATTAATATACTTATATTATGTTTTTTTATTGCACGGTTTGTCTCCTAAATCGTTTTTTTCTTTTTAGTCTATTGTATTATAAGGGTAAATTTAGAAATAAATTAGTATGTTTTCAAAGCTAATATTTACCTCAGCATCTTACGTGTCTACACCTGTGGATAACATTATTTCTAAATAAAACTTTTGGAATATGATTTTTTCATATCATTACACTTGTGTAGTATTATATATAAGTAGAGCACGGATTTGTATGCAGTATCGAAATATACCATATAATATGCAGTAAAAATCATGAAAATATGCAAAAAATATGCAAGAATTTTTTATTTATTTAAAATTTATAATTCAACTTATAAAAATTAATTACTTAAATACTTAATACAAAAAAATTTAGGGTATTTTCTGAACTTATTTATTTTTAAAATTTTATTTATTATTAAAATAAATAATCATATGCATTTAAAGTTTATCTTCTGTGAAGCTATGTCGTTTATCGGTTAACATATTTTTAAAGACTGAAAATGAACCCTCGATGTCAATCGAAGTTAATGGGGCATATTTGAAGCAAGTGGTATGTCGATAATCGACTGACATAGGAAGAGCGATTAAGTTTACGTTGTAATCGATTATTTATTTTATAACTAAATATATATATATATATATATATAAACTATTATTTAGTGACTATGAAATTTATTTTTAATTTTTCTACTTTTTTTAATTAATAATTAATACTTAATTTTTTTTTAAATTTTCACTTCAATATGCAATAAATTTTGAATTTTGCCAAAATATGCAAAAATATGCAATAACCTCGAAATATGCAGAAATATGCAAAAAAAAAATTCACCATTAGCTTCAAATTATGATGATTCGTGAAGATAATTGACAAAAATCCAAAAATATTGAAAGGAAAAAAATATGCGATTGCATAGAAATCCGCGCTCTATATATAAAAATTAATTAAATTTTAAAAATCATAACTTCATGAATATAGATAATTTTTATTCAAAGTTCTTACGAAAATTGGTTATTTCAGATTTTAAAAACATTTTGAAAAATAATTTAAGTTTAAAAATATATTCAGGTAAAAATTTTTTTTTTTTAAGGCCTTTGAGAAAATCTCGCTATAGAACAAATCCTCTCCCATTCTTCTCTATTCTCCGCTACCTCCTTCCAATCTATGTCTTCGTAGTTAACTCCTCTAGCACTTAGGAAATGTTTTTTAATTTCATCTTCCCAGCGTAGCCTTGGTCTACCCAATGGTCTTTTTAATAAAAATATATTACTAGGAACAAGTATAATTAATCATCTATTGTATTATGTACTCGTATATAGTACAAATAATGTTTTAATAATGGAAGTATTACTATCAATTTTTATTATTTATAATAATTTTCAGGTAATCTACTTAATCTTTTCAGGTATCTATATTTATAGGGCCTACATTTAATTTAATGTTCCGATATTGAACTGAGCATTAATAAAAATAATTTATTTTTTAAAAATGTATCATACTTGAGTCTGTAGTTATGCTCAATGCTAGGTAGTAAATCTTTAATTACCTTTAAATACATTTAATAAATCTGGGGAAATAAATTTGTAAAGCAAACTAGGATTAGGTAGCTAAGGAGATTACATTTATATACCTTTGCGTTGGTATAACAAAAACAATTGAAATAATTGTACTATATTTTAAATATTTATATAATATATAAAAATTTAAATTATAATAATAAGTTAAATAACTTTGTCGAACATATTTGCCACGAATCTGAAATTCTGAATCAAGTATAAAATATAATTATCACAACTTATTCATCATTCAATTATAATATATAATATTTTTATGAATGTTAATGAGAGGTAGTGATCAGATTATTCCTTATCCCATACAACAATTACTATTTCACATCTGTTTATTTGTGAGTTTATGTATCAGGTGCCTCTTTACCCCAAGCAATTTTTTCAATTGATACTTGTTGATGTGAAGAGAAAAATATACATAGTAAATTTATATGTTTATATGTCATAAATAAATGTACTCGTATCTCTTTTGCGTTGATTAAAAATAAAAAAGGGACTCTAAAAATCGTATTAATACGGATAAAATTCTTTGAAAACATATGTATGTATATATTCAATGTTTGTATAATGTGATATGTGTATTAATGTGTATTAATATGTATTCGCGAATGTCCTCTTCAAAATTCGTGGATTCAACTTTATTCATATTATATATGTACTTTATCTACTTAAGTATTTCTTACTTACCCATAATGTCAATAACAGTGGCAGTATCTACAATAGCCTCGAGCGCTTCTTCCGGTACTCGTGTGAGTTTATTGTTTTGTAAGTTTAATATTTCCAAGGAGTTCAAATTTTCGAAAGCCATCATCGGTAAAGTTTTAATACTGAAAAAAAAAATTCGATTTCAAATTTTGATTTAATACATGTGATTCAAATAAAGAATGATAAGAGTTACTCGTTTTTTTGTAAGTTCAAAAATGTGATCGAATCACCGAAACCATTAAATGCGTCCTCGGCAATGTGTGATATGTTGTTAGCTTTGAGGTCCAAATGTCTTAGTCTGTGCAATCGACGAAGGGAATCGCTTGGTATCGAATGCAAATTGTTGTCACCTAATCTTAAATATTGAAGATTTTCTGTAAATAATATAAGTGTTCAGTCGAGTAAATTAGAATATTTTAATCATCATAAATAATCTTTTTTATATTAATTATTAATTATTCACAAAGATTAAAGAAATTCAAATTTTTTTATTACATTTTTTTTCGCTTATTTTATATAATTGCCCATAAATTACATTTAATTTGAAATACGAGAGAGTCGCTACATATGTAATTACATTTATTTTGTTTATTGTTGCTTTTTTACTCCTTAGTACTATTATTATTTATAATGCTTCATTTTGGTTAACATTGTTTCGCGAAATTAAGAAAATGATTTATGTTTCTTTTTAACTACTAAATTTAAATATTTTAAACTTAAATGGACTCATATATACCTCATGAAATGTTTAAATTTGTTTTGAAAGATATATTTTAGTGCTGTACATATAAGCAATGGAGGATATATATTTTTATGAAGTCTTATTTTTTGAGATATTGTAAAACTTTCACCAAGTTCTTATTTTTCAAAAACGTAATGTAAATGTATCAAGTGCATATAAAGTAATTATTCAACTTTTAGTTCTAGACATACTGAGATAAAAATAAATTGACATTTTAAGATTAGTTTGAATTGAAGGAATTAATTTACATTACTTTTACATTTACAGACTATCTATCTAGACCCCAGTAAATTTTTTCTTAAAATGCATAAAAAAAGGTTTAAAAAAGAAAATATGTCTTCAGAATCTTTTAAGTACTTTTAATTTTACTAATATAATTTTATAAAATACTGTTGCAGAATAATATTGGGGTACCTTATATTTGACTCAATATAGGTGGTATTTATAAGCGTTTCAGTTTCAGTATCTTTATGATAAATTTAATTGCTAACATATATTTTAAATATAAGTAACCTTTGACCATTTTACAATATAATATAGTGTTAATCTGTAGTACCAAGGTTGGGATTTAATAGCATTTGCATATTTCTTATTAGATGCTTAAAAAATAGCAGAGTAAGCTAAAAATGTGTTTTATAATACAGAGAATTCAAATAAAAAATTTTCTTTTGCTTTTTTTTGCATATTTTGCATTTTTAATTTTTAGTGCTTTTTTTGGATTTTTGAACTTATTTTGCATTTTACCTGTTTTAATCAAAATCGGGCATATTTCATGAAATTGTATTTTGGTAAACGTGTTTTTTGATTTTTGTCGATCGAATTTTCAAGATTCAAAATTTTAAATTAAATTATTAATGTATAGATTAAGTAAATAGACCGATTACGCTGATGCAACTCTGTACAATTACAGCGATAATATATAGGTGGGTATAATATAACACAATAATTTCGTTTTAGTTATTTGGTTCTAATTTTTGTTATCTGCTGATTTTGTTGGATTTTTTTGTCGATTTCTATTAAATTTAATAATAACCGATTATCAACGAACGAGTGTAGAATTCATTTTATACAGTCCACATTCGTCTCGTGTGCTCGTATAAAATAATTAAGTAGTAAATTTCCTTTTTTTTTGTTGTTTTTTTTCTATATTTTTAAGGTAATATTATAGCGCACATTTATGCAATTTTAAGTGCTATAAAATCCCAACCTGTGTAGTACCATTTATTTTATAGCAAGAAAAATTATTATACTAACATATAATTTGCATTTTAAACTTTTTGAAAAAAAAAATTGCGTGCCTTGGCAAAAAACGTATACAGTTCACACATTAAAACCATTTATATTCAATAAATCTATCTTTATTTTTAATTTAAAATACAAATTCAATTTGGAATAAAAAAACCTACATAAAATAATATTCGTTTTTAAATATTTTTTCTAAAATACCATCTTTTTGTAAGCATTTTTATGGTCTCCCTAAAGAAAATTGGATTTTGAAATTCTAGTCTAATCTAAAACACTATCTGCGTGCAATTTTGATGTAATTGACACAACATCAATATGTTCAGAGACCTTTTGTCACTCTTAAAGGTGTTAAAGGTGCAGAAAACAATACAACACTGTAAAATCAATACACTGGTAATATTTATTTTTTCGACATAAAACGAATAAATAAATACATATTTTATATAATTTTAATTTACACTTCCATAATAAAATAGACACAACGTACTTTTTTTTTTTTATAGAAAAAAAACACAAAGAATATTTACAATCTGTAGCACTTGTACTGTAAGCAAATGTTATAATTAAAGAACAATAATTACATGCTATGAATAATTTTGGGGAGGGAGGATGTCCAGTGACAGTTCCCTCACATATACAAATACATTTAAAATAATTTAATATATATGTAGATTTTCACTATTTTAATAATTTTTTTTTTAACCAATTCTTTAGAATAAATGGTTGAAAATTAATATAGATATAATTTAGGTAGAATTAATTTAGAATTAATGGTTGAATTATGTCAACAAAATTGTATTTTTATAATTCCTCGATGGTTAATAAAAATATTGATGAATAGAAAACTGAATAAAACAACAACTATGATTGTCATTTGCAGTTATGGTTTGATTATATTTTGATGGGATATAATTAATTCGTAGGTATTAAATGTGAATAGTGTGTGCTAAACGTTCCAAGATAATCAATTTATACTATATATATATAAAAAGTGTATATAACTTTTCTTTACAGATCTAGACGTATTAAGCCAAAACTCTACGATTTATAAAGTATCTACTCTCCCAGCGGATTTTGCTATCAAATATAAAAACATCGTCTAGAACATCCTTCATTCAAAATGGTTCAATAAACTAATCCCACCCAGATCTAATATAGTTAAATTTAATCAACTACGTACAAGACACACTATTTTACCTTAGCATTTTTACAAATTTGGCCTAAACGACCAAACCTAAACTGTTTCCTACATTTAAAAAAAAACCGCTGTAATCTCTCCCAAATTGTTATTGAATGTTCTGTCTTGCTCATTAAACGTGAGACTTTTTTAAGCTTGTTAAAATTCTTGAACATCTACATAAATCTCTTCCCCATTCTTAACTCAAATTCGGAACTCGTTATCAATAAAGAAATTAACTTTTTATTGGAGGATGGTTTTCTCATTTGAATTTCTAGAGACTATTGTGAAATACTTTTTTTAAATTGTATATAATGTATAATATTATAATTTTAATAATTGAAATAATTTATTGAGCTATAATTGTAAAAGAAAAGGTGAAGAAATAACTAAATAAAATAAAATATTTACACATAATTGCGACTGTTGTTTGTGAAATAAAAATTGAATGTATCATGAAAAAAATTATGAAAGAACTAGGTCAAATACATATTTTTCTGTAGTACATTTACCAGTTTATGTCTTATTGTTATAGCAATGTAAAAATGAGATTTTAATTTATTTAAAAATTAACTGTAATTGATTAGTATAAAGCAATTGTACTTGATGACTATAGATTAGTAGAGATATTAATTGAAATTAATAATAAACGCACTTGTTTTCTAATAAATAAATAATAGCAGTTATATTATTAAACTATTATTTATTTAATTATTTTTATTTACTATTACTATTACTTTTTTGTTATCAATTAATTTATGAATTTTGAAATAGAAAAATTGTTTGATCACAAGATCAATGTAACTTTATTAAATTGACGACTATAAAAGAAAAATATAATTATATTATTTTATTTTAATATTTCAATGATAAATGAATGGCTAATAAAAGTTGAATTCACTGTTTTCGTAGTGTTATAATTTACTCAAATTATAAACTTTAACATTAAAATAATAATTGAAATTATTTTTTTGACCTTAAAGTTTTAATTCAGTATTAATTAATCGAAAAAATGTGTAATGTTGTACGTACCATCGAAACTTTATTTTGTTCGTTGAAGATATTGCTTTATGATAGTTTAACTATTTTATTCTTTTGTTTAAATAGCGTTTCAATAGAAATTAAATATTATGCTTTGTACGTTTTCTTAGTTTTGTAATTTTCGACAGGTCTCTAAGATAAAAATTATTTATTATTTAAAAAGATCAAATAAAACGTGATTTAAGTTTAAAAACTTCAATGCTGTTTTTTAGGGAAGTGTACTTTAAAAGGGTACATTCATCCCACAATGTTTCTACATGTTTTAACGTTAAGTGCATGGAACTATAGTTACTATGGATTTTTTCAAGTTGCAGGAAGCTATGGAGACATATATTATAAAGTATTATAAGTTGTGTATGGTATAATTTTAGCTTTTAAGTGAAATGTATTTCATAAAAGTTCTTGTATTTTATAATGTTATGAATTTTTTTTTGCTATTGAATAGTTTATAATATCATATTTGAAACAACGAATAGTTTTATTGAAATTATTTATTATTATTTATTAATTATTATTACATTAATAACCACTATAATATATTTATACCAGGTTTACATGATTTGATAATAAAAATGAATGTTATAATTATTAAATTATAATATTATTATAAATAATATATACGAATACATATATTAAATTTGTTATATTTTTTTACGAGTAGGTAAACGATAGTAGTGGACATTTATACTATACATACATTATATTCCATGAGAACTGTTATTAATATAAAACCATAAAATATAAATATATAACTGTTGTTTTGTTCCTATTTATGGTTTACCTATTTTTATTAGATTTTCTATACCACTAGTTCGTGTTAATTATGTTCGTAAAAGAGTTATTTAAATATTTATGAACGTTTATTATTGTTTTTATACCATATATCTTTTAAACTAATATATATATGGCATATAAATTTATATTATAAAATTGTATGTTTTCATCATGAAATCGCACATTATTATGTTGCCTGAATATAGAAAATTTTCATTACGTTGTTTAATATGTCGAATATTTGGTGATGTTAACAAGTTAACTTACGGAATGGGTCTTACGAAGTTCTAGAAAACCATGAAAAAAAAAAAATAAAGTAAAAGTAACGACATTGCTTATACTGTAACATTGCAATACAATGTTTACAATTATCGAACTAAATATTTAGCAATTTA